ATTTTAAAAAATAAATTAAATTAAAAAAAAACAAAACCCAGAGGAAATCTTGACATAAAGGTTCGATAATATAAATATATTTGATTTTTCTCTTTTAGAAATGGTTTGTCAATTAATTTACAATTGATGGACCAAAAAACTAAAACTTTGCTTCATTTAAATTTGTGACGCTAAAATTATGCAAATTTATCATTAAACAGGACTCGAGCTAATTCATCAAAACATTGTTAGCTTAGCCTAAAATAGGCTAGTTTGTTCGCTAATGCTCCCTTTTTGCTGTGCTGAATATTACAACAAACCTAAAAAACCGTCTCCTTTGATTTGCTCCCACCAGTAAAATGATTTCAGTACATTTGAAGATTAGTCACAAGAAAATAAATCAATCAAATGAAAGTGTGTGTATTTAGTATTTAGGGCTGAACAATGAGAACACTGTGAGTAAATTGTGTGTTTTGTATGTTTTAAAAAAAAACAAGTTTATGAAGTTTAAAGAGCAAACTAAAGCCTGCATCAGGCCTCTGAAAGCCCACAGACGTATTTATATATATATTAATGGGATCTATTACACTTCATACGTGCAGTTCTGCATCTTAGTCCAATTTGAAACTGAAATTTCAAATTAAAATCTCAAATATACGTATGAATAAATATGTAGGAAGAACTATAATGTGGACTAACTCAAGATAGGGCCGAACAATATGTGAACAAAAAAGTCTTTCAGTGGGAATTGGGTTTCGTTTTGTTCCACAGAAACAACCTGAACCGAACAAACATGTTCCTCTAAATCTGCAGAATATCATCTGTAGCTCCTCGTGTCTTTATTTATACGGTTGTGACTCATTTTACCTTCATTGTAAACTAACAGCTCCTTTAATCTGCCCTTCATAGTAATTTGACTAATTGATCAGCAGAAGCTCTGAAAATGAACAGAATTTTTACTTAAAGAAAAAAACATGCCAGACGTATTATCAGCGTTTGGGTTTAAAATGACAAAGATGTTCCACTATCAGATGTAGAAAGATGTTCCACCATCAGATGTAGAAAGATGTTCCATCATCAGATGTAGAAAGATGTTCCACCATCAGCTGTAGAAAGATGTTCCACCATCAG